TATGATGGAGTTATTTTCTGAAAGGAAAATGCCCGTGATTGGACTGCCTCATACCTCTCTGTGCAAAAATATTTCGTATGTAATCTGTTTGCGTCTTACTCAATTGTCTTCTGTATACTCCTTCTGTCCCGAAAAGATATTCCACATTTGACTAGACACAATTATTAACAAGGGTGAAAGTGTGTGGTTGAGTTTAATGTAGAGGGGAGAGACTGAATTCCTTCCTCAAAAGGAAAGAGGAACTTTATTTTGGGACAAACAAGAGGAAATATGTAGCTTTTTCATGGTACGAAGTTAGTAATTTGTATACATTTGGTATGTTTGATGTATACCAAACCAAACAAACCCAATATATTTCATTCCAGTGTACCCAGAATAGGGACTGAGGGAGCAAGATGTACGCAGACCATACATTGGAATAAATAACTGGTTTTAAAGAGTACACTCAAACGAAATGTGACCCGTAGTGTGAGTGAAGAGAAACACACACACACACACATGCACAGCATCTACAAGGACTACAAAACTACACACACATGGCCCTGAAAAACTTGAGGAGAAGGTTAAGGTGAAGAAAGTTTCGGAAGAGAAACTGTTGAAAAGAAGTCCCCGTTAGTGAGAAAAGCATTAGTGATTTTTGTATTATCTGCATTTTGTCTATTTGTGCGAGTAGTGTTTTCTTATCCTGTGATCTTTATTTCTGTGTCGGTGACTTATGTTGCTCAAATAAATGAGGGTTGCGGTAGGTTCCAGTGCGTTGACGGTTAGCGTAAAATTCAGTCACATCTATGAACATGAACCATAGTATATTACTCATTTGTTTATAGGATTAAAGCTTGGTTGTAATTGTCAATTTTATCCTCTATCTACTAATCTACCTCAACTTAAATGAATGTAAGATGATGAAAAGGGAACAAAAATTCAGTTTAGAGACAAACACTTGGAAGAAAAGCTTTGGCATACCCTTGTAGACCTGTGGTGGCTTCCGTAAATGGAAATAGCTATTTTCTTAATGCTGCAATGTAGTCTTTGACCGCGTGGCTGTAACCCACTGTTAATAGTAGCTATGAAGCAATTGTTTCTGAAAAGGAAAGTGCAGTTAAATGGACCACATACCCCCTTTGTGTAGATGAGAGAAATATTCATATGAGATCTTGGAGAAATATTTCATATCAGATTCCTTTGTGTTCAATGGACCACATCATCCGTTTGTGCCTTTGCAGTTGTTGGGTGGATTCATAGACACATATTGCGCTGAATGGTTGAAATGTTGAAATATCCCCATGAGATGGAAAATTATATGGATTCAAGGTTTAGATTAGTGATAGAATGGGCTCTTTTTGTATCTGACACCTGGGATCCAACCCATCTACTCTCTGCAAACCTATGCCTATATAATGCAATAAACGCTGACGTGGACATTAATTTTGAAATAGGGTATAACTTATATGTACTCATAAACATGCTGCTCAATCTCTCAATCCAAGTGAATGACTGAATAAGACCAAAGATAGACGTTGTATTGCTCTGGGTTACAAACAATCTCTTGACTGCCACAGAAAATAAGAGCCTTTTATATAAGTTGTTTATTCTTTGATCTTTTTTGCATAAGATTACTTTATTCCATTTTACCGGAAACAAGCTGTTGTTTTCTCCATTTATCCATTTAGACTAAGATCTATTTCTCCATTTCTGTAGTCATTCTCATTTTACACCTTTGGTCATTGCTGGAAATAAAGTTATACGGAGTATGTTGTACTAGATTCTTCTTGTGTTCTATCTTTTTTTTTCCTTAACACCCATTGGTCAAATTGCTGTCTACAAGATTCCACCCTGGGGAATATTATTGCAGACTATCTAAAGCATGCAATTTCCTTTGTATATTCTTTCAGGCTCTTAGAAGAGGCACAAAATGTGAAGTTCAAGAGATATAAATCTGAATGCACCCAATATTTAATGTCCAAGTACTTTTCAGACAAAACTATCTTTGGAGGTAAAATATATAATACCCAATTCCAAGAACATATTTATTGTGCGTTATACCTCGCATTTGTTTATTATACATTTTTACCTCTCTTCTACAAGTATTATTTACTTTCATTGATATTTTACTGTGTTAGTTTACGTTGACACTAAAAACCATGTGATGTACTATTGTTTGTTTTGGTATTCTTCAGCTTACATGAATTGAAATTTCCATTCCATGTGGATGGAGTTGTATATAGGTATTTTTTATTTCTGAACGGCATGTGAGCTACTTGATATGTGGTTTGTTATATGTGGAGTCACTCTCTTTGACTGTTTGGTTAGACTATTCTATTGTCCGAAAGAACTCTTTTATTGAGATAAACTCTTTTTGCTTATTTTCAACATTAAAACCTCAGTTTACACAATATTTGGCATTACTTTTTACATAAATATTACAGTAGTAGACCTTTCAGACGTTTTACTTGATAAACATGAAAAGATATAGCCATATAGGCTACATTTGTTTGGCATTATGTTATAAGGGTGTCTACAATTTAGCACCAATCATTCCTTCGATTCATTTTTAAGTTTTGAACATTGTTCATTAAGGATTACTCCGAAACTTCTCTTCGTGATTCATGATCGAGTTCAGTTAACCATTGGTTGGCGCAGGAAATATTTTTGATGTTAAAATGACCATAGATGGAGAGCCAATCAAAGTGAGCAGGTACTACAACTAGGGTTGTAAACGAACCGAATCGAATCGAATATTCATGAAAAATATTCATATTCGTTAAGATGGAGTGATATTCGAATTTGAATTCGGTTCGAATATTTTTTAAGATTCGTATTCGGTTCGTTTAATATATTAAACATATTCGGTTCGTTTAAATATTCGATTCGTTTAAATATATTCGGTTCGTTTAAAAATATTCAGTTCATTTAGATTTTAAAATATTTTATAACCATTTGATATACCACACACACACACACACACACACACACACAA